CCCCTGGGGGTACTGTGTGAAGAGAGGGGTACTATAGAAGGGGGATACAGTGTAAAGAGTATTATTAATCAATCGTCATCATGATAGAAATATTATCGGTTTTATCCGGCTTGTGCAATAAAAACTGATTAATAATATCCTAATCATAGTAATTGCATAAAAAATGTAAAATTGATTTTATTCGCAAATAAATAAATAGTGGTTCGATCAAAAAAAAGAGATCGAATTTCATATAACTTTATTATTATAGAAATGAGTCCACGAGCAAATAAAACTACAAATCGTGCAACAATTACAACTAAAACACGACGACAATGGAATGCACGGGAAAAACTTGCCATTATTTTATATCATGAAAGTGGTCATAGCAAACACAAAACTGCAGCTAAATTTAATATTGAAACCAAGCAGCTTCGAGACTGGATATCTAAAAAACCACAATTTTTAAGAGCACAACCAGGTTTAAAGCGTTTAAATAAAGGTGCTTCTCCAAAATATCCTGATTTAGAAGTTTTTTTGGTTGAGTGGATCAAAGAAAGGCGACAAAATCAACAAGCAGTTTCGCGAAACATGGTCCAACTAAAAGCTAAAACACTTTCACAACAAAATGAGTGGCAACTTGCATATCCTGACATTCAGTCATTTGCTTTTAGCAATAAATGGTTAGACGGTTTAATGCGTCGCAACAATTTGAGTAATCGTCGTCGTACCACCCTTTCACAACATTTACCAGATGATTTAATTGAAAAACAACAAGGATTTTTGGCATTTGTTATGTATAGACGCATTCAGTATGATTATCCACTTGAATTAATCGGTAACATGGATGAAACACCTTTAGCGTTTGATTTACCATATAATACAACTATAGATATATCAGGTACACGGTCAATTTGCATTCGTACTACTGGATATGAAAAAAGCTGTTTTACTATAGTTTTAGCCTGTATGTCGGATGGTACAAAGCTTCTCCCTCTTGAAATTTTTAAACTTAAAAATATTCCACGAGGAAATTTTCCACAAGAAGTTATTGTCCGAGCTAATCCTACTGGATGGATGAATGAGAATGAAATGCGTTACTGGATTGAGAATGTTTGGACCAAACGTCCAGGAATTTCAAACTCACGATCATTATTAGTTTTAGATTCATTTTCAGCTCACATTGCTGATTCTGCAAAATGGTGCTTTGATCAAAAAAATACTAACATTGCTGCTATTCCTGGAGGATTGACATCTCACTTACAACCTTTGGATGTTTCGATAAATAAATCATTTAAAGCGAAGGTAAAAAAAAAAAAAAAAAAAAAAAAAAAAAAAAAAAAACTTATTAATAAAATTTTTTTTCGTGTATTCTTATTATTACTATATAGATGCGACAACATTATAATGAATGGATGATTGAATCTATAAAAGAACTAACAGCTTCCGGTAAAATTAAAAGACCTTCTTATGAAATTGTAGTAAGTTGGATCAAGGCTTCGTGGGATGCAATTGATATTAATTTAATCCAACGGTCATTTAAATGCTGTGGCATATCCAATAAACGTGATGGAACTGAAGATGAATTAATCTTTAATTACGACTATTTGAACCAAACAACAAGTCAATCTAATGATGAGATCGAAATATCAAATGAGGAAGTTCAAGAAATGATTAATGATACAAGCACACTTGATGAAAATCAAGAAATAGATGATACAATCGCACTTGAAATAGTGAATGAAAATCAAGAAACGGTTAACGAAATTAAAGAAATTAATATTGAGGTGGAATTTGCAGAAGAGGACGATGATTATTACATTCAAAATGAAATGAATTATTATAATTTATGGGAAGATTAATAATTGGGTACAACCAGAAAATTAGCATTTTTTTTAAAAATAAAAATAAGAAAAAAAACATAACAAAAAAAAAACATGTAAAAAACATTATTGCTATAATTGCGGGCAAGAATACTAGTAATAGCGTAGCTTTATTGAATCTATAAATAAAGTAACACTTCTATAAATTATAATGTATCGAAATCGTATCATAATTTTAGTGTTCGAATAATTTATAATGATAAATATCAAAATTTTGTATAATCTGGTCGGTAACTTGATTAATACCAGGGTATTTTTCAAAAATGATAGAATTTACGATTCAATAGTACCCGGATACTACTTAAAGGGGATACTTCTTCAAG